ACCAACAGACACCTGAACCTATCAGGTTGGTACTCTGACACACAGTAGTACCCTGTCTGACACACAGACTCCCACACCAGCTTCTTCTTCCCAGCTGCTGCTTCGTCACATCCCAGCGTCTCTTAACTTCTCCACACAGGCTTCACCTATATATACAGTACAGCCCCTCCTCCCGATGTCCCGCCTTCCACTCCCCATAGGATGGAACTTTCCCTCCAAACCCATGACAGACAGGTAACATCAGTGCTGTATGTAACACCCACTATGGCGGTATTGGGCTGATATTCCTCTATCTGTTCTTATGATTGATAATTAACATTTTCCAAACTCATAGTTACTTTTTATTCTCTTGCAAACTCTGGATGCTACAGTTTGAAGAACATGCTGAAGATTCATTTACCAAATCCAGATGAATTCTTCCCATCTCTCAATGCTGTCCATGGAGGAGATGTTCAGGTATGAGAAGTAGGAGGTAGGGGAGCTGGAAAAACTGCTTGGTCTAAATTTTAAGTGAACTGACCAAAACTGCAGCCCCCAGACTAATGTCAAGGAAACTATCCTTCAGATTCTGCAGTTCTCCAAATTTTACAATGCAGTTCTTGGCAAAAAGAATCATGTACTGTATTTATTTATTTATTTGATTTGTACCCCGCCTATCTAGACTACCAGACCACTCTAGGCGGCTAGACTATTGTATAAAACCATGTACGTCAAAGAGAGTTACATACAAAGAAGTACACATGCAGGAAAGTTACAGTTATATACAAAACTGCATATGATAAGCATTTCTGAAATGCAGCACTGTAGGCTTTGGCCCTTATAAATACGTTCATCAAACAGGAATGGGCAACAGATTATGTCTGGTCTGTGTTAGTTTGGCAAGTAAGTTTACTGTATTCATCAAACAGGAATGGGCAACAGATTATGTTTGGTCTGTGTTAGTTTGGCAAGTAAGTATACTGTATCTGTGAAGATTCTCAGTCATTCAGGCAAGGTTATCTGGAAGTTGAATCATGGCAACTGGACTTCTTTCTTATTAGATTGAAACATTTCGCTACTCATCCAATTAGCGTCTTCAGTCTGAGGAGAGTTGGTAGGAGACCCCTGATATAGCCTCCAGGTTGTTTCTATGTGGAAATTTTATATGACCTATATGGCATATAGAAAATCCCTCACTCAACAGGGGTGGAGGCTTTAGATACAATCTGTCTCCTATTTATCATGCTGCCCTTTCATCTGTCCCCAGAAAGATTAGGAACACACCCACCAGAAAGACCACAGTTAATTACAGTACTGTTAACAACAGTCATGATGGACTAGCCAGTCCTGGCAGAAGGTGGATGATGGGCTTCTCTGCCAGGTCGCAGAGTGGCTAATCCATCACTAGCAATGGAGAGATAGGAGGGGATCATGGAGTTCGCAGCAGCGGCGGACAGGTGGGTGGGTGGTCTGGCCCCAGGGGGCCGAAGCCTTGTTATCTGCGCCTGTGGGGGGGGGGATATTCGTATACAAATACGAATACCCCCATCTCTATTAATGACCCACAATGTGGAGAAGTACTGCAGAAGTGGGATTATCTCTCACTCCTAGTCCTTTGTCCTAAAAAGCCTATTCAGACCAGGGGGAAGTGAAGCCAACATGGAGGATATCTCAGGGACCTCCTACCAACTCTCCTCTGACTGAAGAAGCTACTTGGATGAGTAATAAAATGTTTCAACTTAATAAGAAAGAAATCCAGTTGCCATGGCTTAGCTTCCAGATTTGGCAAGTAAGGTTATTCCATTCTGTTTCTGCATAATTCTAGTATATATGTTGGGGGGGGGGAGGGAATCCGTGATAATCAAGATGCTTTTTATATTTACTGAATAAGTTGCAGCTAATGTAGGCCTGTCAAATCAATGGAAGTTATATAGACGTTGACTCAACAGATCCCCACTAATTCAATGGACCTAGCGTAGTTGTGAGGGGGGGGGGAGGGAATCCGTGATAATCAAGATGCATTTTATTTATTTATTTATTCGATTTTATCCCGCCTATCTGGACCAACAGTCCACTCTTATATTTACAGAATAAGTTGCAGCTAATGTAGGCCTGTCAAATCGATGGAAGTTATATAGACGTTGACTCACCAGATCCCCACTAATCCAATGGACCTAGCGTAGTTGTGACGTACTACTGGATTTCAGACATTTTATATTGAAATACACATTTTGGACCTGGTTTCGGCCATTTTTAAAGCTGCAAAGTGCAAATTTGGAAAATCAGTCAAATTGCAATATGTGTTATAATTCACATATTAGTTCATCTTACTTCTAAATGTAGAAAGAACAGGAACCCATATTTACATACTGTTTATTTGGGGACACATGACCATCTATGATGAACATGATAGCAAGAATTGGTAAGAACCAAAGGCAGTTGTCACTCAGAAGCCTTTCAAGTGGCCACCAAAGTGTAGATTAATGTTGCCAGTCTCAGGGCACCAGCTAAAGTCTCAGGGAATTACTCACCAGTGACGGAGAAGGAGTTGGTGAAGTGGATCTACAGCAGGGGTAAATAACTTCCAGAGAGCCACAGGTGGTATGTGGTCAGCTCTGGTTCTCAAAAGGCCATGCATCCCCTCAAAATATGTTTCCTTAAAGAAGGATTTTTTAAAAAAAACTGAAAAAGAAACCCACCTTCTCACAGCCTCTTGTGCCAAGAGGAAAGCTGGGGATTGGGGTGTGCACAAAATATGGATAAATCACCTTAACATCCCTCTCCCCAGAAGGTGCAAGTGAACATTCTGAATCAAGTTTTTTAAAAAAATGTGGCTCTAAAGCAGGAGTAAGTGACGTGGATCTAAAAATGTGGATCTAAAGCAGAGGATGGAGTGCTGGGCCACCTTGGAGGGTAGATACACGGGAAGAGTACGGACTACACTGTACTCACATCTACTTTCCAACTTGGTAGTCAGGGAGGTATCTTCTGTAAAGCAAGGGGTGGGCACCAGAGAGGTGCAAATTTGTGATTCTAAACAACTGCTCCCAGTATTCCTAGGCCAGCAAAAGCTGTCTGCAGAATTCTGAGAGCTGTAGTCTGAAAGACAGAAATCCGCATGTTTCTCAAGTGTCAAAGTGTTAGCAATACATTAATTCTAGACTATAGGAAGAACTTGTTTGTTTCCCTTTGTTTTCTGATGGCTGCACTGCAGTTGTTTTGGTTATTAAACCCTCTGCTTTTATTCTCCCCTAAAATCCAACAGAAGTGGTTGTCTTCTCCAACATCCATGCCTTCCTTGCATGTTGCTACTGCAGCATCAGATGTCTCTCTGCTTGAGATAATGCCGAAGGGCCACCAGGAGCCTTCCCTCCACTTTCCCAAGGCATGTTTTGCAAATATGGACACACCAGAGATGAGCGAACAGTCCTCATCTAGTTGTTTCATCAATGGTGGTTATTTTTCCTTCCAGCACCAGGATTCTTTTTACTTTGAGCCCTGCAAAGTGTACTTCACCTATGATCTCATTTCTCAAGGCAACATTGGCTGTGAAGATGGTGACTTCTGCTCATACAGACTGCTCCATGAAACAACTGACACCAGCAGGCCATCACCCCCTACTGACAGCATCACAGCAATCCAAGAGAATAATTGTTTTGTTCGAGAAACAAAGGAACCAACTGAGAGAGCTGCATGTGGTTCAAGGACTCTTCTGTGCAGGGAGAGTTTCTCAACATCACCAAAAGAGAAACAAGATGGGAACCAAGGGAATCTTAAACCCATCCTTTTGCCTTCCTGGCCTCCACTGGAGGGTTCCATATACAGTACAGACCAGTCTGACGGCAACAATAACAGAACAGGAGCAATCCAAAATGCTGACCCTCCTGTCGCTTCTGCAGAAAATCATAGGTCTGCATTTCTCCAGTCAGCAATACAGAATCAAGGCCAAGATAATGTCACCTGCAGAGCAGCATCTTCCTCACAGCTCCCCAGTGCTTCTGAGGGCTACCTATCAATGAGGGATCTTCAAAGCCATTACACTCATTATTCTATCTGACTTCTTTGGAGCCATCCCACTACCCAGCCGTGCAACTGCTGGTAATGATGGTGGGTGGTCATTTATTAAATCATGACTATGAGACTGGTTGCTTCAAATATCATTGATCTATTCCACCAATGGGAGAAGAAAAGGTTGAGGATGAAGAGGAAAAAAGGGGATGGAAGTTCCATATTTTTCAGGGTATTTGGTCCACATAAAGCTATAGAAAGGCTGCTGAGATAAGCCTATGGGCCTCCAGAGTCTTTCCAACAAGAGACAAATGCTTTCTTGATGACTCCAAAATATGTCTTTCATCTATGCCTACATGGTTAGTCTAAAGCAAGCTGCAACTCTGTCCTCAGGCTGAGGGGAAAACAAAAAGTATCAGAAAAAAAGTGTTGAGAATGAGGCAGAGAAATCCTTTTCTGAAGCATATGCATTTCTCTCTCTAAGCAACTCTTAGGAAGGTCCCTGGGTAATGATGGTGGGTGGTCATTTATTAAAGCATGACTATGAGACTGGTTGCTTGAAATATCATTGATCTATTCCACCAATGGAAGAAGAAAAGGTTGAGGATGAAAAGGAAAAAGGGGATGGGAGTTCCTTATTTTTCAGGGTATTTGGTCCACATAAAGCTATAGAAAGGCTGCTGAGATAAGCCTATGGGCCTCCAGAGTCTTTCCAACAAGAGACAAATGCTTTCTTGATGACTCCAAAATATGTCTTTCATCTATGCCTACATGGTTAGTCTAAAGCAAGCTGCAACTCTGTCCTCAGGCTGGGGGGAAAACAAAAAGTATCAGAAAAAAGTGTTGAGAATGAGGCAGAGAAATCCTTTTCTGAAGCATATGCATTTCTCTCTCTAAGCAACTCTTAGGAAGGTCCCTGTTCACTACTAGTCCCTATTCACTACCTGCAAGGAGAAAGATATACAGTGGTGCCTTGCATAACAAGCGCACCGTTTAACGACGAATCCACCTAGCGATCTATTTTTTGCGATGTTTAGGGCTGCTGAGATAAGCCTATGGGCCTCCAGAGTCTTTCCAACAAGAGACAAATGCTTTCTTGATGACTCCAAAATATGTCTTTCATCTATGCCTACATGGTTAGTCTAAAGCAAGCTGCAACTCTGTCCTCAGGCTGAGGGGAAAACAAAAAGTATCAGAAAAAAAGTGTTGAGAATGAGGCAGAGAAATCCTTTTCTGAAGCATATGCATTTCTCTCTCTAAGCAACTCTTAGGAAGGTCCCTGTTCACTACTAGTCCCTATTCACTACCTGCAAGGAGAAAGATATATGTTACTAGACGATTAGTCAATCTAGCCCAACATTGTCTATGCTGATTGGCCCATGCAGATCAGTACAGTTTACCCTGATTGGTTTGTCTAGCTCAGTATTGTCCATACTGATCATTCGTCTACTCTGTATCGTCTGTGATGAGTGTCTCAGACAGGCTTAGTTGCAGGTACCTTCCATGTACAAAGCTTTTACTTTACCATTTATTGGTTGGCCGTTCTTTTCTTCTGTGTAATCCTTGCTTTCTATTTGTGGTACACTTCTGGAACTTCACAGTTCTGTTTCTTGAACTATGTACAATACAGGAAAGGTTGTACGCTTAAAGCTATTCACTGGCTCAGGATGGGTTGGTGCTTTTTTTGATGTCTCCATACAATTGTTAGATGACTTCCTGTGAGCAGAAATAAAGTTTTCCTGTCTACCATATTCCCAAAATACATGGTACTCTGTACCCCTCATCTTAAGCTGAGGTGTAATGAAGCCAAGAATCATAGGTTAAAGCCCTGGGATTTTCTGAGCAGCAAGGACTATGACATGGTATGCCATGCACCGAGCCTTTCCTGCTCCCTCTGAACTTAGCTTCAGTTCCCAGGAGCAGTACCTTGTTGCAAATGATGGCTGTTGTAAAGCAGATTATTTGACAATGGTGTGGGTGCGAGCAGACACTAGAAAGGGTTCCTTTAAAGGGAGCAGTTTCCCTTAAAGCAAACTTTCCCTCTGCTGGAGAATCACTCCGGCCAGGCACCAAAAGTAAAAGCCCTACAGCCAGCCCAAAAAGGTCCAACTTGGGCAAGGGTCAGGGCTGGGCTGGAGCACATGTCCTCATGCGTCAAGTAGTCCTTGAGAAATAGATTGCATCGGACCACTTTACAAGAGTCCAAATAGTGATCTGTTTCCCCATTGCGATCACACCTTAAGTCACGAACCTTCCAGATGACTTGCTTTTCACTCATTGATATGGGCCAATTCACCAGTCTGCGTTTTTGGACCATCGTTATTATGGGGACATGGCTGTTACAACAGTCACAATGAGCACCTGCAAGTCCAGATTTACTAATAAACCACTCACCTCACATCACAGCTGTTTGCCTTTTCCCGGTGTGCAAAAATGGACACAAATGACATCACAGACCTGGACATCTGCGTGCCCGTTATTCAGAGAAGTTCAGGAGGACACTACAGAAATTCCAGAAGTGCTGCACATCTCAGGTTTTAAATATTTTATTGAAGTTTTCTTTTCCATTTTATCTCTTGTCCACCTCAAAATGTAGACAAGGCATCATGAATAATTAAAAGAGCAGGTTTATCACAACAAAGGGAAATATCTTATTTTCTTAGAGATAGTTTGTTTAACATTAAGAAAAATACACTCTACAAAACTGCCACTGTTATGTAAAATCATTCATTTTCATTTCCTCATCTTTTGGAGCAGACCAAGTAATCATGTTCACTGTTAACAAGGTTACAAATATTTAGCCTTTTTCTTAAATGTGGAGGCATAATTCCTTTTCTAGCAGCTAGTGTAGAGCAAGAGTGGGAAATCTCCAGAGGCCGAGGACCATGTATGCCCACCTTGGATCTTGGAGGGCTGCACCTAGTTCTGCACCCCAGCTAATCACCCCCCAAATATTTTTCTCTTTAAAATAAGTTTTTAAAAAATTTCTGAAAATGTCCCCTTGTGCCCTCTGGCGGCCAAAATAAAAATTGGGGGGGGGAATGACCCAGGAGTGCTGAGTATGGGAAAAACGTGGCAGTATTGCTTCACACACCCCACAGAGATATAGAAGGGTTTTATAAACATTTTTTTGAGTAGGTGGAGGGCAGATTTGGGCCCTTTGGGGAGGGGTTGCATGAAGCCTATGAGACATACTCTACCCACCTCAGAAGAGAATAATTATGAGGAGACTCTGCAGACCCTTAAGGACCAATAACTTTTATTTGGAATGAGCTCTCCGTTCTGTCTCAGTTCTTAAGGTGCCACAAGAGTCGGTGTGGGTGGATGTATATATGTGTACAAACACACACACACACACACATTATCAAAATACCAAGTTTGTTTATTATGGTTCTTGATTGTTTTGTATTTTTCTGCTATTAGCTACTGTGAGCTTACTGCAAAAAATGTGAGGTTTTACACACACATGCAGAACAGAGTTGACAATGTTTATATTTCCATAGATGCTGAGCAGAAGAAAAGGTTTCACAATATAAAGAAAGAAATAGCAGTTTTGCATTGCTGTTGAAATATTGTACGGATGAGTCTTTGTATTGAAGGACAAAATAAAAACATATATTTCATTTGATTGCTAGACGTTTATTATGCCACAGTACATCTCGTAACTAATACCAGTGAAAAATTGTCTAATTGATAGAGTCTGTTGTTTCCTTTGCTTGAGGAAATCATCAGCTAATTAGCAGGGAGGGTTGGGTGAAATCAGTGCACAGAAATAGATACAGATCTGCATCTGTGCCCAGAACCAAAGCCAAATCATTTATTTCAAAGCAATAAAGGTTCAATTAGCATTTGTCATGCTGCTTCCCTGGTCTGAAGCAGGCAAATTACTGCCACAGTAAGGCAGTGCAGGAGTATTACATTTACCATAATGCAATGCTGAAGTGTCACATTTTCAGTAATGCAATGAAAGCATGTTGAATGGCAGGATCTTATTCATCTAGTTCCCATGGTTTTTTATTCTTCTTCTTTCAGCTATCACCTGAATTTATTACCTTATCCACTTTATCACTTACCTAAATTGTGATAAAAATTACAGACAATCATGGTTTTCAGAATCCATAAAACAGATTAACATGGAATGCAACTTTCAGTCTTCCACTGTGTTACTCCAAATTCTTAGAAATGTAGAAAGGGAGAGACAGTAAAAATAAAAAAAAATCTGAGTCCTTGCCATACTAAGCATGCTTAACAGTTGAATCCAAAATGTATTGCACAAAGATCTAATGGGTTGTTTATTTGTTTTGTTTTTTAACATTCAGCTAGTCTGCAAATGACTAAAATGTGGGAAGCAGCTGTTCACATTCCAGTTGATACATGGCACAAAGATTTTAGGATATAGCAGTTGCTATCAGTATAGATAGCAAATGTCAACCAGACCTGAATGCATTATGGTGTAATTTGGTATAACTTTAAATGAAAGTAAAAAAACAAACAAACAAACAAAAAAAACAGGATTGCGGTACTTGCAAGACTAACAGATTTATTTCAGTGTGAGATTTTGTGAAATACAATCCACTTCCTCAGGTTTGTAAAATACAATATTTAAGCCATAGGATTACATACATACTGCTCATGTTTGTCAGGATGGGGACTACATGTAATGGTATACTAAAATGACAGTTGCCTTTTTCTAACATTGGTCATGAGCTTTTAAAATGGCAATAGCATTACTAGCATAGCTAAGGAGCTTCTTGAAGTGTTGACTACACGAACATCTGGCAGTAGCTGAAATAATTAGCTGTATGTCTGGTGGCAGACAATGGGGATGGTTAAGCTATTCCCTTTGAAATGTAAATGCAGTAATTTCTTGCTTACAGGAAGAAATTGACTGAGAAATATGAAAACTAGTACTATTTTATCTCACATGCCCAAAATAACACTGACCAAGACAAGTAGCCTCCACTGTAGCTTGAATATATGTGGGTAAATCCAATTTGAATAGGTGTCCTTTTGCAACCTCTAACAGCTTTGGAATTTATTGCCTTTTCTTATTGTTTATATGAATTTCTTAATATCCTGCGGCTTTCTTGTTGTAAACAAGTGTTCATGCCTGTTTCCCAGGGAGGGGGATTC